AAACCAATAAAAAAAAACCCAAAAAAAAAAAAAAAAAAAAAAAAAACCCGGAATCCAGAAAAATTTCAACTGGAAAACAATAAAAAACAACAACAAAAACAAAAAAGTCACAAAAAAGTAATTTTTGCTAAACTTTTAATAAATTGTTGTTAAATTGTGTAAGTTTCATGATTTCAATTAATTAGACATGCTTTTTTATTACTAACATTTAAGTTAACCATTAAAATAGAGCCCAGAAAAAAAATGGAATCTAAACTAATTCAAATGGAACAATTGGAATTTGGAAACAAAACACAATTTGTGACAAAATAAAACAGATTTCATATGGCCCTATTTAAGTGTCCTGAAGAGCGTCATTAAGTGTCTCCACTATTAATCTCAGCACTAAAAATGCTTGAAAATGCAGAAAAATATAATATGTTGTAAATATACGTCTCATTCTACATCAGACACACCAAGGTCTCGCAGCAAAACAGCATTTTAGCGTGTTAATGGGGAAAAAACGTCTGCATCGTGCTGATGCATATCAGGACATAAACACAGACGCCTGGAAACGGTCAAAAATCACTTTTTACTGGAAATCAGTGAAAGAGAAGTTAGTTTTGCTTGTTTAGAAAGGTCCACATATTGAAAGGTCATGATTAAATGCTGCATGGTAAGAGCAGAATGTGGTGGCGAGGGCTGGCTCAGGTTTAGCCGTGTTGGGGGTGTTTTTGGGCTTCAGGTGCCCAGCCGGTCCTTCAGGAAGCTGTTGGTCTTGGAGTCCTGCAGCAGCATGTTGGCCACATCCAGGAACTTGTGCTCGTAAGCTAGTTTATAATGCGTGTAAACGTCCTCGCAGTGAGACAGGAGCTTCTTCAGATTCTGACTGCAGCTCACCGGCGCTTTGTGATGAGACATTCTGACAAAAAAAACACGATCAATCAATCCACTCAACAGACGCACGTGAATCATGCCTGACAGAAAAATAACACCTTTCTGTAAATGCACACGGGGACCAGAAAACATGTCTAGACTGAATATATTATATCACAAGGAAGGAATAAGTGTGCAGACACTTATATATACTGTA